ATGTTGGGAACATTTCGTTAAATAACTTTGAGGCTTGTGAGATGTAAAATGTTCACCCGTTTCTCTGCAGTAAGCGTTACTATCATTATAAATGAAGCTGCCCCTGTTTTGTTACACTCGTGGTTACAAAGCCAAAATTAGAGCACTTTGCGGCAGAATTTGACATTTAGATCAGGGGTTGGAAACAGTGGCCTGTGGGCTGCTTGGCCAACAACAGTGTCTAAAATTTTTTTTCCAATTAGTTGCCAACATTAAAAAATCTGGAGATTTCACACTAAAAAAAAAAAAACTCGATTCCTGGTTTTCCTTGAAGATGCAGGCAATGGGCGGCCCTGGGCAGTGACAGTGCCCGCAGGTGGCACCCACTCACGGAACCCGCATAGGCCAGTCTGTTCAACAATCAAAACCACACATCTGCCAAGTTTTCTACAACTACCCATCATCTTTCCACTCACCCACAATGAAAAGTTCCAATCCTTTTGCCTCTTTTTGAGGAAATTAAAAAAAAAATTTTTTTTCTGATTTTAATAGTGGTGCTCGTTCTTTTTGGAATATCTAGAAAAAGTAGAAAGAGTCACATTAAAATAACCTGTTGTTCTACGTTCTGAGATTCATCACTGTTCTCATTTCAGTATATTTCTCTCTGGACTCTCTTCTAAATGCATTCACTTGTTTGAAAATATGTTTGTGTAAAAATGAATCAATGCTGGGACTAGACTTTTGGCTTCTGCTTCCTCCCTTTTTTTTTTTTCCCTTTTAGCCAAACATAGGTATGAGCATTTTTCACATAATCATTTCTTTGCAAACATTTTTGCTACATACTCAATTGTGTGATATAGCCAGGGCTTCGGTTCAATCCCTGCTGACAATTTGCATTTCCACCCCCAGATATACTGAATCAGAGTCTACATTTTAAGAAGATCCCCAGGTGACTCTTATGTATACGTATATAAGAATATAGTGATTCAATGTATCTGTGGGCAAAATGCAAATTCTCAGCAGGGGGTCCAACTGAAACTAGGCGGTTGGAATCCGTGGATATGGCACATGTGATGTATTTCACTTTCCCCACTGACAGAGGTTTACGTAGCTAACTGGGGGTTTTGTTGTTTTTGACTGCTGTGAGTACTGTTCTGTCGGTCGTCCTTTTGCATAAGCAATCTCGGGTTGTTTTCTTATATTTCCAGAAGAGAAATTCCTGGGTCAAAGGGGATGGACGTACTGAACCTTTTTGTACGTGGTCTCACGGAGGCTGTACAATGGAATCTTTAGTTGTTCGGGTGGCCAAGTCCCTCGGGACTGTGAGCAAGGGACGCGTCAGAGGGGAGTCAGTGAGGACGCTATGCGTGAGGAAGAACAGTGGCCCATGGGGGGTGACAGCAGCCTCGTGGTCCTTAGCCTGACCTGAGGGCACAGGCAGCTCAGACCTGGTTAAGCTCAGATGAGGCATCAGGGTATCCTCAGCCCTCCAACATTCAGGCGATACTTAACCGCAAGGGCCAGCTTAGCCCTGGCAGCATCAGATTTAGGTTGGAAATAAAACACAAACCCTGCCTTTACATGGAGCCCTGGGTGGCACCATTAAGTGTTCGACTACGAACCGAAAGGTCAGTGGTTCCAATCCACCCACAGGCTCCTCAGAAGAGAGGCTTGGCGAGCTACTTCTGACAGGTGATAGCCTGTGAAAACCCTGTGGAGCACAGTTCTGCCCTGAAACACATGGGGTTGCCTCCAGAGTCCACACAGTTGACAGCTATGCAGTGCTCCCTCTCATGACGAGGGTTCTTTATGAATTAGATAATTCTGGGGTGAGGCTGGGGGAGTAGCCGTAATGGGTAGGTGCAAGGAGGAGCCTGGA